TACTACTACTACTACTACCAACACGACACAATAGTACTACTACTACTACTCTACGTAACTAAACAACTACTACTATATTATAGTACGACGTACGCCTACCCTCCTCCTCTCTCTCTCTCTCTCTCTCTCTCTCTCTCTCTCTCTCGAAATGCATGTTGGTACCATGAAAATAGTATCAAAAATCACATTTTCCCTCATTTCTTCACTAAATTCACATAATAAGAATTTAAAACTTTATAACAGTATTGTATCAAAATCAATATAAAAATTAATATCAATAAAAACAACGTCTCACATTTTTGCAAAATGTTGAGAGTCCATAATGCACTACTCTCAATTTTTGGGAAACACCGAAAAAAAAAAAAAAAAAAAAAAAGTAGTACAAGGATTTTTATACTTTTTAAAAAAAAATTGGCCATATTAGGCCAATCCATCAATCCACCGAACGATGCAATGGCCGATCCAAACCAGTTTTTAAGATTGGCCATGTGGGTCACTAATCCAGTTTTTCTTTTTAACATTTTTCTAAACAAACAGCCATTCAAGTTCAGGTGTAGTTTAGCCATTCGTTTTCAATTTTTGATGCTTGATGCAACACAATCAGGGAATAGATGGTTTGTACTTTTCTTTACCTTTGGAACAAAAGGTAACAAATCACCCTTAGTTGTTAGACTTGTAATTAGATACATGGTTATGTGTAACTCAATATGCTCATAGTTCAAAAGCTTTTTCTCAAGCTTGGTAACTCACTTTATTTGCTTGATTTTAGGGCTTAGGACTGCCAAGACTGATAATCATTCATGGGCAAAAGATAAAGGATTAGGTTTCTTTAGGGCCTAGGCTTTATGAAAACGTAATACAGCATCACTTCAAATCCTCATCCAAAAAGCACTTTTGGCAATAAAAATCTCTCTAAAATCAATTTCCAACACCAATAATGAAAGTCAAAACTCAAAAAATAGTGCAGATCTTGTGGATCTATGAACAATTATTTTTGGGGCGATAATTTATTACAATAACTATATTTTTAGGGCTTGCAATCCTTTTTTTTCACAACCATAATGTTCAAGGCAAGATGATCGCTGTAAAATTTTTCTAATGCTTGAATTGCAATTTTGGATGAATTATAAAGTAAGGCTTTACTTATTTCCATCGGGATGTAGCCCTATCAAACCATTTTCCAAAGAGAAATCGTCTTATAGCATGCAATCCTTACTTACACATCATCTGCTCATTGTTTCATGAAGTTGAAGTTTCTATTTTCTTTCCTCAAACTTCACACACAAACATTTAGCGGAAAACCCACTTTATCAAATGCATCTCCGAGTTGCAGATCAATAGGTCATAGTGAACTCAGGCTGAACTAAGAAATATACAATCACATGGAATCACCAAATAAACAATTAGATTGGCAATGCAGGTCACTAATCCATTTTTTCTTTTTAACATTATGCTAAACAAACTGCCACTCAAGTTCAGGTGTAGTTTAGCCATTCGTTTTCACTTTTTTATGCTTGATGCAACACAATCAGGGAACAGATTGTTTGTACTTTTCTTTACCTTTGGAACAAAAGGTAACAATAGCCGTCAGACTTGTAATTAGATACTTGGTTTTGTGTAACTGAATATGCTCATAGTTCAAAAACCTTTTCTCAAGCTTGGCAACTCACCTTTAGTTGCTTGATTTCAGGGCTTAGGACTGCCAGGAGTGATAAAGGATTAGGTTTCTTTTAGGACTGCCAGGAGTGATAAAGGATTAGGTTTCTTTAAGGCTTAGGATTTATGAAAACATAATAAAGCATCACCTCAAATCCTCGTCCATAAAGTACTTTTGGCAATAGAAATCTCCATGATGGCTCTAAAATCAATTTTCAACACCGATAATGAAATTCAAAACTCAAAAAATAGTACAGATCTTGCAGATCTATGAACAATTATTTTTGGGGAGATAATTTATTACAATAACTATATTTTTAGGGCTTGAAATCTTTTTTTCCACAACCGTAATGTTCAAGCAAAGATGATTGATGTAAAAGTTTTCTAATGCTTGAATTACAATTTTGGATGAGTTATAAAGTGAGGGTTTACTTATTTCAATCGGGATGTAGCCCTATCAAACCATTTCCCAAAGAGAAATCGTCTTATAGCATGCCATCCCTACTTATACATCATCTGCTCATTGTTTCATGAATTTGGAGTTTCTATTTTCTTTCCTCAAACTTCACACACAAACATTTAGCTGAAACCCACTTTATCAAATGCATCTCCGAGTTGCAGATCAATCAGTCATAGTGAACTCAGGCTGAACTAAGAAATACACAATCACATGGAATTGCCAAATAAACAATTAAATGGAATGTGAACAAGGTTTGACAATCACTGAATCTCTAGAAATTGAAAAGTTTGAGCATCCAAAAACACAAAGTTCAACATAGATGAGATACATATATGCACAAGTTTATTAGAGAGAGGGAGGAGTGAAGGGAATAGATGAATGGGGTGTTAACATTTGACCAAATAAATCTCCTCTATAAGCTATTAGTCCTGGGGTAGTGTGAAACCATTTTCAGTAAAGGTATTTTATTGCCAATCTCAAGAGTTTATATTCAATTACAGAATGATTAGTAGATGAAACAAGAAGGTTATAGAAGGAGATACAGGAATGATACAACCACCTCATGAACAGAAAAATGGTGAAGGATTGACATGAGAACCAGGGTTATTAACTTGTCAGTGGAGGAGCAATTATCTACAGTGTCGCTTTCCACGCGTAAACTGTTCCACCTTTTTCCTTGTGCCTTAGCTTCTGTTTAGAATTGTGACATGACGAGCCTCACTTAGGGAATGTGAACCAGATAGCCAACATGTTAGGTCACTAGAATCATTAGAGAGCATACGAAGGGGTGATGTCATGTTCACCTCCTCAACAATTCCATCACCAGATGATAGAATGCGGAGGACGCATTAGCTAGTAAACTCGTTGGTGAATCGTACTCCACAATGTGCCCTATAAGTATCCCGACGAGCCAACAACATAAATGTCTTGCCCATGTATCCCAAGTAAATATAACATAGATTCATGTTAAAGGAATAAATAAATGTTTGCTGCTCCCAGGCAAAGCAAGCAGAACGTAGAGCCAATAAGAAAACCTCAAGGGATTGGTTGGCTGCAAAACCCGCTTGCGATCATCAAGTTACAAGATTAAAAAAAAATGCAGCTGGAGAGATTTTAAGTACAATATACAACAAACATTTCTTGTAAGCTAATTAAAAACTATGTTGTTTTGAGAGTAACAAAGCAGCCCATGGCAGCAATTCATGAACCAATATCTTCTATGGAAGCGGACACTAACTGAATACTAGATCATATCAGTTATTCTTTCCTGATAACTCCATAGAAATATTTTTGGATTGTCTATGAAGAGACCATTTATCTTTATTACAAGGAGGTCACAACTATTCTCACTCATTAGATGTCAAACTGGATGGCTTGGGGTGAGTCATGAAGTCCATGAAATATTTTTCAGAACTTTATATCGAGAAATATTTTTCGGAACTTTATATCTATTGACGCTCTTACAACCTCCAATTTTAAAATTTAAGGGACAAGAATGATTGTGACCTCTTTGTACAAAAAGTAAATAATCTCTTTGTACAAAAAGTAAATAATTAGTTGTATTTGAAAAGTTAATGTACCAATTCCTTACAGAAGCAAATGTGCCTGGCGATTTGTTGAAATAGAAATCATGCAATTTAACCTAAACATTTTCCTAATTAATTTCCTAATTTGTGTCTCATTCGAGTCAATCATACCTTGGTGGAGAACTAGCACAAGGTCACTGTCAATTATAGTGGGTATCCGATGGGCTATCGTGATCACAGTGCATTTGGATGTCTCTTCTCTAATGGTCTTTTGAATGGTTCTGTCAGTCACACTGTCAACTGAAGCAGTCGCCTCATCCAACACAAGAATTTGGCTCTCTTTCAATAGTGCCCTTGCTAAACACACCAATTGCCGCTGTCCCAAACTCCAGTTATTTCCATCTTCACCAACTGCATCCCACCACATCTCATCACTTTCAACACTAGTTAATCAACATTAAATTAGTACATGTTATGCACGTCTGATATTCCACACACACACAGACAGCAGTAATAGATGTTAGGGAATATGAATCTTGTAATCAGTTGCCCCAAGTAATACTTTTAGTTTTTTCTTTGGCTAAGTTATACATGTGGTTGTTACAAAAACTAAAAAAGAAAATATAAAAATTCAAACGAAGGAATGAGATCATTATGATAAATATATTCACCAGGTGCATCGAGCAAGCGTTGATCACGCCTTATTACGTCCACCAATTGACACTTCTTAAGAGCCTGTAAGGTTCAAAACCCAAGAATTTATTAGCCTTCCCAAGCATAACTTTTGATCTATAAGAAAAAGTAGAAAAGTATAAAAGAAAGAGTTGTTAGTCGCTTACTGCCCAAATTTCAGGATCAGAGTGCTGCTGAAGTGGGTCCAAATTGATTCTCACGCTCCCTTGAAACAAAGTGGGGTCTTGTGGAATGATACTGAGTCTAGACCTCAGATCATGCAAACCCAAAGATGATATGTCCACTCCATCAATCAGAATCCTTCCTTCTAAAGGTTCGACTACACGAAACAAGGCCTGTATGAGTGTAGATTTTCCACTCCCTGTTCTTCCAACAATTCCTATTTTCTTGCCTCCAGGAAACTTACAAGAAATCCCACTTAAAACGAGAGGAAGGTGTGGCTTGTACTTGACTTGGAGATTTTCGATTTCAACTGTGCCTGTTTTAGGCCAATCTGGACTCAGTCTTGAATCCTCAATCATCAATGGGGCTTCGCTGGGTAATTTGGTGAATTGAAAAATTCTTTCTACAGAGATCATCTTGTTTTCAACATTGCATAAGTTCCATATAATCCAGGCCTGTAACACGTTCAGGTTCAGGCCATATGTTGCTACCAAACCAGAAAGGCCTGAAAGAACAACATCCCATGTTAATTATAGAATTGAATTCCCCAAAATTTCATATAAATCTTTCCACAACAGTATGTTGGCAAATTTTACTTCAAACAGTGAGCCATTTTTGGCAGCTCAAGATTGAGACATTTTCATGATGCATGTATACCCTACTACTTTAATGAGATGCAGTTAATTTATTAGACAGTCAATTTATGAAAAAAATAAAAAATCAATAAGATTGAAGTCCTTTTCTTTTGGGTAGGTTTGCTTGGTTTGTATAAGAGAGGAGCCATAGACCTCTCGCTCAATGCAGATCAGGTGCCTCATAACTGTGCCAAAATTTTGATAGCGGATAAAAGTAAATTCCAAAGAACAGAGAAATTCAAGTTAGTTCATCATTCAACACTGGCTGAGCATATCAATGTCGGAAGCCCAATTCAAAAGAATTCCATAAGTCACAAATGTTGAAAAGGAAGAAACAATTCCAAAGGACACTTTTATTTTATGCAGACCATTTTTCTAAATAGAAAGGCAGAGATTAGTTAAAGCAACATAACAATGGGCAAATAGCAAGAAAGGATGAGACGAACTCTTGTAAGTTGAGGGGAGAAAATGTTCACAGAGAGAGAGACTTACTTGTATGAATTACATTAGTTGGCAAGCGAAGTATGACAAGGAGGAGACAAAAGAAGGCCATGTTGAAGAGGAAGTTGATGCGAAGGCAGAGCCACTCCATGGCAGCTGAGTTGTGGAAGGCAAGACGAGAGTAATTATCGATAAGACGGAAGTTAGTAGTTAGGAAGCGGTGCTCCTGCCCAAAGCATCGGATGGTAGTGACACCAGAGATTGTCTCAGACAAGTGGTGGAGAATTGGAGCCCTTCTCGACCCAACGTTTCTTGCTAGCTCTCTAGCAGTGGAGATGTAATATACCTGGAGCCACAAAATTTATCAGTTTATTCTTTCCCAGAAGAAGGTTTGAAAATGAAATAAAATTCTGAGGAATTGATAGAATGATGGAGAATGGAATGATGCTTGCCTGATACCACGCAGAGAGTGAAATGACTAAGAGGAAGATGAAGAAGAGAGAGAGAGAAAGGAACGAAGCAAGAGTGACAAGGGCCAGGAGCTGAATGAGAGCAAAGGCCAGGCCTGCCACTCTGTAGGGAATATCTGTGTCCACTGTGCTCTGGTCCGTTGATGCCTGTTCATTTCAATTCAATTCCATTCATAATATAATATGTGAAAACCATGAAAGTATGCTATTTTTTAGTAGAATATTGAAAAACCACAGGCCGTAAGGTCATCACCCTCCATTAAGATCATGGATGATGATGAAGAGAGATTGAGAGACCATATCATTTTTAAGTAGATCATTGTTTCTTAAATCCACTCTCTCGCTCACATCACGTCAATGGAGAGTGATGAGCCAATTCAATTTCTTTCTATTTTCTAGTTAGTTCAGTGGTGGTGGGTGCCCTCTTTATGATAGGAATAAAATTTAAGACGTCATGTTGTAATATCTCACCCGACTTAATAGGTTCTTTCTCTACAATAAGGATGAAACTCAAGATGACATGTTGTGGCGTCCCGTGATAACCTTGACTAGTGAAGAAATAGTTTTACTATACTGAGCCATGTTATACGAATAGTTTGAAATTTGGATGCAAGTGGTCAAAACATAAGAGTTCACAATTTTTGCACACACAGGAGAATAGTTCACAAATAAGAGAGAAGCTCCTTCTTACTCGTGAAAGAATGCAAGTCGAGGGCGTGGAGTGAAAGAAGGAGAGTGGGGCTCGAAAGACAGAGTGTAGCATCCTGTGGAAGAGACGTTGTGCCGTCTCAACTGCAGCCGTAGCGAGGAGTAATGCACGTGCCAACACGCACAGGCAGCTCCCAGCAGATAGCACCGCATACCCCACCATCATCCGTCGAGCAACGGGCGCTGTTGCACCCACACCATCACCGTCTGGTCGGGTGCACCAAGCCATCCAATAATTACCTCCCATCTGAAGGCATTGGAACATCACGTGAGAGCCTAGTATCAAAGGCACCAGGGCTCCCCCATAAGCTGCTGTCACAAAAGCCTTGTACACTCTCCATTTCACACTCCCTCTTTCACTCTCTTCTCCTTCTGCTGCTGCTACTTCTCTCTCTTCAATCACTTCATCCGTTAAGAGCTGGTTTGGAAGGTGATGGGGGCGATTTTGGTCGACCGGTGCGGCCATATCTCGTATAAAGAGATTGTGTGCCAGCATGAGTTGGTTTAGCTCGCCACTGTCACCCTTACTCACCAATTCTTCCAACCTGCCTACCTCTACGATCTTTCCATCTCTCATCACCTGTTAAATTTCCTCAAACTCTTGAGTGCTCATGCCTTAACAAACATGTTCTATAAACAAAGCCACTACCTTATTTCATTTGCATCAAGCTCTAGGGTTTTTTGTCGTCCTTTTGTCCGGTATGTAATTTGTGCTTTTCTTTTAATTATTTTTGTTGTCTTTTTATTTTTTAAAAAAAATACTCACTCAAGTTTTATTGAATTTCACTTATGGCTCATCACCATCCAAAGTCTATTAAACAGTCATAATTGTCTGATAGTATTTAAATTTTAATAATTTATTTACAAATATGATTAACCTCAAATTTTATGTGTGTGTGCACCTTTGATTAACCTCAAATTTTATGTGTGTGTGCACCTTAGTGGTGTGCAGCTAAATAATATATAAAAAATAATTCAAGTAATAAAAATAACTATATTGCCTCCATAAATATTTTAGGGATATTTTTGTCATTTTATTTTTATAATTATTCCTAAATACTTTATTGAGGTTTGAGTTGGTTAGATGCAAACAAGCCCCAACATTTTGATAAATTTGATTTATAAAAAAGTAATAAAAATTCAAATACTATTAGACAATTATGGCTATTTGATGGACTTTATAAGGATGTGACATCACTCACATAGAGCATTAAATGTCACTAGTATGCTTCATGTGAGTGATATCGCATCTCATGTGGATAATGTCACACCCCACCTAATAACCAAAAATAACCTTACTAAAAAAATATCGCATTATAAGATAAGAG